TCGTCGCAGCGCTGTGACGTATGCGGCCGACAAATTCGGCCTTCGGAGGACCCGTCCTGCCGTTTTGGACACAGCCAAAATTCGGAGTTTTAGGACCCACAGTGGGGTCTTAACCCCAATTAACTGTAGATGAAACCTTAAACAGGGTTACTACAGCTTAAGGCAAGTTAAATTTAAGACTTTTTAATGCTTTTTAATGCCATTTGAAAGGAAATTTAAGACCAACCTCACAATAAACACAAATGTGAAAAAAAATTTTTTTACCCAAATGTTTATTTTAACGCAAAACAACTAGCTGTGGTAAATTTGGTAAATTGTTTAAAAAAATTAAATGTTACTAATTGTTTTAATATTTGAGACAAATACAGTCATCCTATTTACAATGTGTTAACATTTTTAAGACCTCTGAAAGATTGATTTAAGACATTTGAAGGCTGATTAAGGCCTTATTTTTGGATTGATGAATTAAATGACATTTAAGACTCTTTAAGGATCCGTGGGAACCTTGTGAATAAACTGAATTTAAAGGAGACAGTGGAATACCAAAACAATTTGGATAAACATTACAGATTCCCAGAGAGATAAAAATACAGAGTAGCTCAGTGTGACAAAAATGGCACCATCTACTTTTAATGAGCTGCCAAAACCTTGGCACAAAGATGTTGTCAGATGAAGTAACTGACTTGAACGTTAGCTTTTTAGCTGCATTTATTGCTGATAATTCACTCACACCAATATATGGAGAAAAACGTGGTGAGAATAAATTAGATGCAAATTATTTTAAATAATGCCAAGTATTTTAAATGAAAATCTGAGGAACCCAAATCAGGATGTTTCCCTTTGCGTTTGTATAATTATATTTCTCAAACGACCAACAAATTGCAATTTTCAATAAGTTAAATGCATACAGTACACATGTGCTGAAAAAAAAACATAAAGGAGATACTTTTACAAGATCATTTAGTCATTAAATTTTGGGGGTTTTAAAAAATGACTAATGAACACTGTATCTACGGCAAAACKCACATTCGTATGAATGAATAAAAACAAATGCCAAATGTAATATTAATATTTCAGTGGAATATATATTTGGACTCAAATGTGTGTAATGTATCTCTTGTGGTTCTCTCACTATAAATAAGGACTTGAGTCCCTCGAGCAGCATTCTGTTGAAGCCGTAGTGAGGGGCTGTTCTGGGATCTCTCCTGTGGAAATGTTAACGGGAATGACTTTAGCTGTGATCGCGTCCTTTCTCTCAACACTTTCTGCCCGGCTCTTGTCTTACATAAGACACAATATTTATAGACAGAGAGATACCGAGCTCAGCGGACGTTAGCGTGAAGATCTTGATGGTGTGGTATGTGGAGTCCTTTCTGTGTGGGTGTGGTACCTGTCAAGGGCGGCGCTGGTGGCCATGCTCCTAGCAAAGCCTCTGACACCATGCTGTCTGAAGTAAGGCACGGTGGAGACGTTAGCAGCGATGATGGCCACTGAGTCTGACGGGTTCACAAAGAAGCCATTTTCTCCAAGAATCATGTAACGATCCTGACAAAAACACATACAGCACGTTGTCAGTCCTGTGTGAATGCTGATTTGGCATATTGTTTTCCTGTTTATAGCTTCTGTACAAGTCTGCAGTCAAACTATTTCCAAATACTTTGTGCTATTTTACCCGTTTTTACGAAAATGTACGCCTTACCCCATCTGCGTCAAACGCGGCTCCGAATCCAAACTCGCCTCCTTTCATGGCGTCTACCAMTGAGGTGGCGTAGGTCAGGTTGGGCTCAGGAGGTCGACCACCAAAGTCCTCCAGAGGGACACAGTTGACTGCAGAGTTAGCAGGAGCCCCCAACTCTTCACACAGGATCCTGCGTACATATGGTCCCATCACTTCCACAACCAAAGGAGAGGAGAAGTGTTTTATGAACGATCTCTGATTACAGTAACAATGGATCAGAAGTTATAAAAGCTGAAGGTGACCTCACCTCCGTTCATGGCATCTATGTGGATCTTCAGCTGATCTGGTCCGGTGAGGAGACTTTTAATGGCGGAGAAGTCAAAGATGTTTCGAAGCAGTTGTAAATAGACTTCAACTGAGTCAACAATCTCCACTGAAACACAGAAGAAACTGTCAGGAGTGGATAAAAAATTTGGTTGTTTCCAAGCTTTTTTGTCCTTCTCAATGCTGACTCAGTCTTTTATCCACTTTAGTGTGGTGTTCCCCAGGGATCCACTCTTGGGCCACATTTTTATATTTATCAATAATCTGACAAAGACATACCTTTATTTATTTATTTATTTTTTAAGGACAAAGACATACCTACCACTGAATTACACATTTATGCTGATGATATTGTGATGTACGCTGATGCACTTACAGCTTTTTAGACTTTATTTACTTAAAGCATGAGCCTTTTTACACAGTTCAACAGATTTTGTATTCTTGTCAATCTTTATTGCTGTATTAATAACCCTATATCTTCAAAAACAGTAGCGTCTTTATGTGCATGACTGTAGTCAGTATATTTTCATATAGATTTTCAGCTTGATATGTTGAAAATTGTAATACTTTTTAGAGTTTTATTTTCTCGGTAAAAAAAAGTCAAAGCTAAATAAGAAAACAGGGGCTAAAAGAAAAATGTGCAGCACTAAAGGTAGTTTTAAAAGCATATTCTTTAGTACGATTATGTTCAAAAACAATACTGTAATTTATTGTTTTGGTCCAAAATACACATATTTGTACCTCTGAAAGGTTTGAACTTGTTCTCGAGATCAAACTCCTGTCTCCCCGGTCTAGAGAGGTCAATGCGCAGATCAGGGCAGATGGTGTACTCCTCCAGTGTCCGGCTCACCTGGGAGATCCTCTCCATCACTGTGTCTGGGGATGGACCTTCGAGACAAAGAAAGACATTCAGAAATGAACAAAAACAACCAAAAACACTCTTTAAACCTTTTAAGACTTGTAATGATGAGCTGGTAACTGCTGGTAGCTGGTATCCACAGTTTTAGTRCACACCTCCGTTTGCCACATTGAACTTGATTCCGAAGTCTCCGCCGGGGCCTCCGGGGTTGTGGCTGGCTGTGAGGATGATCCCACCGATCGCCTTGATCTTCCTGATGATGCAGGACACGGCAGGGGTGGACAGGAGGCCGTTGTGACCGATTACCAAACGACCAATCTGCACAGCAAAAACAATAACAACCAGTATTTCCCTAATCATTCTGCTGTATAAGATTTAAAGAAACCTTCACTTTTCTTTGACCTGACTTGATCAGGGTAAAGACTACAGTTTAACTGACGCCACTTAAAAAAAAGGGTGACTCATTTACCGTCTGCTTTGAAAGGAAAATGATCTGCTCCAGTGGGCGCCTAAATAGACGCGTTATGCTCTCTATTTATATGTCAATTATAAGCGTTAATACCAGCATTCCATTATTCCCCAGCTTATCAGCTCAGAAAAAAAGTGTCCTCATCCAACAGGAATTCATCCTCCCAAAAATCAGGACCTTCTGATGTGTGGAGTTTAGGAAACTGAAATAATTGCACACTTAGTAATCACTGTCGATCAGAAAGTAGTGCTTGGGGCGGGATGTGTGAGCTGGTGTTGTCACTTTCCTTTTTATTATTTGCTACACACACACACACACACACACATGGGATCCCCAGTGTGTACAGCTCAACTCTGAGGTGTAACAGCGCTGCGGGGGTGTGGTGGTGGTGGTGAAACGTAGGCAGGAAAAATGGAGCAGGATGGATGGATTCGCTGATAAGGCTGACACCAAGAGACATTTGGCTGGAGCCAGCAGAAAAAAAAAAKCCCTCAAAAAACAGATTACTGTTTTTTCCCCCCTTCAGTTTTTTTTTCCTTTTGGAAATAATCCAAACAAATCACGAAGGTCTCCCAGCAAAGCATTTTTTGAAAGAGAGGTGGAGAGTTTCCTCTTGGCTCTGAGTTCCTGCAGGTTTCATGAATCTGCAGCTGACATTTTGAGCTCAGAACTTTGTTGCTGTTAGTAGCAGGAAACTGCAAACATGAAACCGAAAAGGTTGGCAGCCGTGTTTTTAGCTATCGTTTTAGGATTTAATCCCCTTGGCCATCGAAAAGCCAGAAAAATATGTTTATTGTCCACAGTCAAAAGTGAAAGGTGATAATGTTTATGCTCTAATCTTTGTTTGGTTATCTGTAGCGTTAGCAAAATATCTTGTGAACCAGTGAATGAGTTCTAGTGAAGCTCTCAGAAAGTAATGATTGGTTAATGATTAGGAGAAAATCATGTTTAAGATTGTCGCCACAGTAAAACAAACTTTTGCTGATCTGTGTTTTAACCTTGCCTGTATTTATTACTCAACTATTGGCAAAATATCTCATAAACCAACMAGCAGATTTTAATAAAACTTTCTGAAAGTAATCACTTGCTGTGCATATAAAAGTCACCAAAATTAAGAACGACATCCACCTGCTGACCATAGGAAATACAAAAATGGTAAAAACTCAACCGATAATGAGCTAAAATTGAGTGTGGTTGTAAATGAGCCTCATCAAGCACAGTCCATAATATTCTTGCTAAAATATGTGTCAACTTGTACGCCTGTTAGCAAAATATCCCATGAATCACTGAACAGATCTTAATGAGGGTTTCAGAAATTATTTTTAGGATGCACATCTGAAAGGGATTAACTTTCGGGAGTTTTGGGATCTCGCGAGATCTCGGAATGTCATTTATAGAGTCTAAAACGCCTGATACACTGTAAAAAATGAAATGTTGGATTTACTTAACCATGTTATGTGTTCCACTTAACTGAGTTGAGTAAATTCAAAGC